GTGTTTTGCATGTTCGTACTTCTCTAATGGCTTTACAACATATTTTTGTGTGTTTTTCGTTACACACATGACACTTATTGTAGGCCCCATGCATACGTACATATATGCATATATTTGTATGTATGTCTGTGTGTACATTTTATCCGATTGAAAGGACGTTGCAGAAAATTGAAATTTTAAATATTTTGAATTTATTTTTTTAATGGAAAAATATCGCTGAAAATAAGTGTTTTTTTAGGCAATTTTCCGATGAGTTTTCCGTAAGAAAACATAGCTGATTTTCGGTTTTCTATAAAAAAAAAAACCTTGCTGAAAGAGATTTATGAACGTTCGGAAATAGAGATGCAGTGTGTTGAAGACGAGGCAGGTGAGGACTTCTTTAGAGGCCGAGGAGATGCTGAATATGTAATAAGGCCCGACATTTCAAAAAAGAAGGCTGGTCATTGACATCACCCTCTCCTATATGGACGACTCTGCTATTGACAATTAGGAGGTATCTGTTTCTCAGACCACAATATGATATTCTTTCAGGTGACAAAATGCGGTGTCAGATAAAAATGTTATAGGAACCCAAAAAAGGACAGATTGGGACAAATTCAAATCCCTTATATTTCAAGGATCCTCGAGGTCTGAAATCAACCGGACGAGACAATAGTGAATGTTGTAACAAGTGTTCTTCTTTCTGGCGATAAGAAATCTTGTCCAACAACCTACCCTCGGAGGAAATCCCAAGAAATTTTCTGAAGAAGAAATTTAGCTGAATTGAGATTTTCAGTGGAAGAAATGTTGAGATGGGCAGACTATATGATACCCTACATATTTTTTAATAGGGCAAAGGCATTTTGGGACTCTATAAGATACCTGGTACCAAATATCATTCTTGTGGGATGCTTATTAATAATGTGAGGGACTTAAACACCAATTCGGATGAAACATATATATGGGAGCTATAGCTATATCTGAACCGATTTTCATAAATTTTGCTTCTAGACTAAATTCGGTTGGATGTGCCAAAATTAAGGTCTTTTGGTTCGCAATCAACCCGAAATCGGTTGAAGATATATATGGGAGCTAAATTCAAATCTGAACCGATCTTGATATAATTTTGTAGAGGTATTTCTGGGCTGTATCTGATATCCAGTATCAAATATCATTCTTGTGGGGGACATATTACCCCAAATCAGACGAAACATATATGGGGAACTATAGCTATATCTGAACCGATTTTCTCAAAATTTATGTACTTACTTCTAGACTTTGGTTGTGCCAAAATGTAGGTCATTTGGACTGATATTGGTCATTTGGTGCACAATTAACCCGAAATCGGTTGAAGCTATATATGGGAGCTATATCTAAATCTGAACCGATTCTCACCAACTTCAATAGGGTTCGTCCTTGGGCCAAACAAGTGTTGTATAGAAAATTTCATCTCAATCTGATAATAAATGCGACCTGCATTTTTGTTCACAAAAATACATGGACAGACGGACGGACGTACTGACACGCATAAGTCGACTCAGAAAGTAATTCTATGATGATCCTCAAAAGTATCTTAGGGGTTATCTCGTTTCCTTCTCCATGGCAATTTTCTGTCATAGGCTGTAGTATCCATTACGAACTTCAACTACGAAATTTGAAACAATTCCGGTAAATAATATCGGTAAAATAGTCAAAATACCGAATATTGGGAGGTACCGTTGTATGGGGCTCATATGAAAACGTTGACCGAGATGGCCCATTTACGAACTTAACCTGCCTACTGGCGAAATACGCGTGTGTGCAAAATTTTAACCTACTTTCTCAATTCGTTTCAAAGATTGCGTGATGAGAACAGACAGACAGACGGGCAAACGGTCACACAAACAGACAGACGTCTATTTCGAGGAGTTACAAACGGAATGACAAAGTTAATATATCCTCCATAGAATGGTGGAGGGTATAAAAACGCTAAATTGTCCATACACGTGTTAAATACCCAACAAATTTGAATTGAATTGAAAACTGAAGGATGACAAGATTTTTTCAACATGCTGATGCTGAACTCAGCTTTTACCCTTGAAAATCCTACCGAATTATAGAACAACATTGCTTTGAGTTTCCCCTCTTCAAATTCCAGTAAATTCATTTTATTTAACCTCCTGTGAGCCACTGTACCTTGTTGCCTGTCCCACATAGACTATTTTTAGCTACGTCACCATATTCTGTTCTCTAAGTTTTTTTTTCGCCACAACAACAGCAGCAGCAACGAAAAAAGGATGTGGCTGGTAGCAATCAACCAGGTGGTGGTAACGTTGTTAGTCTGTTCAACGAATTGAAAACATTATGCGATAGCTACAATTACGTGTTTCTACACACACACACACACACAAACACCTTTACATGGATGCATTGCGAATAACCCCACAAACACCCGCACACATTTGTATTTTGTACCAACCAATATGCATAACATGCACCCCATTCACAGTTCGGCTTGTGTGTGACTCTCCACTCTCTAAACGAAGCTTTAGACAATGGGAGCTGAATGGATAAAAAATGAAAAAAGAACCTCAAAACACGGTGATAGCAATTTCATTCCCGCAACTACATGCAACACACTTACACACACTCATACTCACACATACACATAACCCCCTTCACACTTGAGATGACGACAACATCATTAAATGTGCTAAATTTAGTTACGCGAAAAAAGGAATGCGGTGGGGACATTGAGGAGAAGAGAGAGCAGATTGCCGACATGTGGCGAAACAGCTACGAAATGCCATTCATGCTCAAAAGTAAACAAACTCTTAATTAGGGTCAAGTGCAAAAAGAGAGACATTTATTATTTGGCTTTTGTGAGTAAATTCAGTTCATCTCTTAACGGTGTTAAGAGTGGGAGGCGTTATTTCGAATTGATATTCATTTGAGGAAAAAAAAAGAGTTTAGTTCCCATTCTCTTAATAATTGTTGACTGGTTTTATTTGATAATTTAAAGGGGTTTTTGTTATGGCTGGAATATTAAAAAAAATTATAAAAAATATTAAACTTTTTATTGATTAAGGAGAAAAGAATTGGAATGTATAAAGGAGTTAATAATCATGAGGTTGTTATTAAGTATATTTTGGAGAAAAATTTGGAAATAGTTGTAGGGAGAATATTGCAGAAATAAGTTTTCAATACTACTAGTTTTGCCATAGTAGAAATATACAATTTATGTAAAAAGTAAGAATTGAAAAGTACGTCCTTATAGAAATTTCCTTTTTACATTTGTTAAAAATTGCTCATTTTACATTTTCAAAATCTTCCCATTTTTTACTCTCTATTTACATGGTTTTTTAATGGGTTTCTGGGCCCGGTTGTAAAGCGCAACAGAATACATTTTGTGTTTTCATTTTATAGCATACTTTTAGGCACTGCTAATATTTTTCATTTATCTTACGTATGATTTATATTAAAACAAATATTTCACAACACGTATACATCAGGGATGCCCACACACCGGGGATATTTCGCTGAATTTTGTTTTTTTATTGAAAAAACGTTGGTGAATTGATATTTTATATTAAACCGAGCTTAACAGAATTTTCATATGAAGAACAATTGAACTGATTCTTTCTGTGGAAAGAATTAACTGCAAAACAAAAAGAAAGCTGAAATTCCATAGAATCAGAACTAATTGCCCAGACTTTTACTTGAGTTATGTTTATTTTATTTTAGTAGAAATATTGGATTGTGTGAAATTTAAAGACAATTGAATTATTATTTCATATTTTATAGGAGTTATGACTATTCAAAATTTTGACCCTTTTGTGGGGGAGGTAAGAGAAGGAGTGGTCGGCTATATTCCATTTTCACACCAGACATAGAGTTAGTAAAAATATAGAGACTTGTGAAGTTTGAAAAGAATCGAAAGTTTATTTCGTATCTTTACACCAGATATTGTGCTGGTAGAAATATTTAGATGTGCAGGGTCTGAAAAGAATCGTAAGCTTATTTCGTATTTTATGAACCTTTTTGATTATTCGAAATTCTGACCCTTTGTGGGGGATGTACTAGGAGAAGTGAACATTTTTATTCCATTTTCACACCAGATATAGAGTTAGTAAAAATATTGAGACTTGTGAAGTTTGGAAAGAATCGAAAGCTTATTTCGTATTTTTTGAGCCTTTTTGGTTATTCGAAACTTCGACCCTTTGTGAGGGAAATACCATAATAGGTGGTCCGATCTAACCCCTCTTCACACCAGATCTTCTGTTAATAGAAATATTACGATGTACCAAGTTTGAAAAGAATCGGATTCTTATTTTGCTTTTTGCGAGGGTTGTGGTTGTTCAAAATGTTGACCCCTTGTGGGGGAGGTACCAGAAGCAGTTGGCCTATTTTGTTCATTTTCATACCTGAACTAGCATTGATGCAAATATTAGGATTTGCAAAATTTAAAGAAAATTGGATGATCCTCTCGTGCTTTATGAGATAAATTATTTTCTTTGATAGTTTCGACCTTTTGTAGGAGAGGTATCAGAAGGAGTGGATCGATATTGTCCATCTCCGAACTCGACCTAAGTCTGATAATAATATTACGATGTACCAAATGTAGACAAAATCCCTTCCAGAGTTGTCTTAGGCACCAGCCAGACCGACGGACGAACAGACACCGCAAATAATATAACGATGTACTAAACTTGGACAGAATCGAGTACTTTCTTCTAGAGTTGTCTGAGGCACCAGCCACCCCAAATTGACTCTAAATGTCTTTAAACTAATTTCGTCCGAAGAGACCTCTGGGGTCTTAAACCATTATTTCGAGGCTGGTTTAGACCTCATCAATGATTTATATCCTCTATAGATAGGCACATAAATTGTCAATTGTTGTCATTAAAAAAAGTACCTCGCTCTCACTTTTCCATCCCTGATCCACATAAGAAGCAAAAAGCGGCAACAGCATCAAATTGTCATTTTTTCTTTGCGGTTGACAATTTTCTCAATTTCTCTTAGAATTTCGCCAATTGCCACGATAAGCGGATCAGTCAAATTTTAGAGGTCTAGACGCGCAAACCGCAGAAAGAGGTCCAAGACAAAAACGCGATCGATCGAACGAACGGAAAACATTGACATTAGAAAAGCAAAAAATTAAAATTATAAAAATATATATTTGTGTGTTTGTATGTTCTGTACAAAAATATACATACTTATGTGCGTGAAAAGCTTTTTTTTCCATGGAATAAAAATAAATAAATAAATTATTTCAAGAAAATCGAAAGTCATAAATAAAGTGAATATCAAAATAAAATAAAAATATTCTGCTTTAAACCCCGAAATCCATAAAACACGCGTTTTACCCCTCCATTGTGAACCGTTACAAAACGTAAAACTCTATGAATTACTACTACTCTGTATGTATGAATTGTGAGAGGGGAAGTTGGGAAGTGTGGGTGGGGGTTGTGTGAAAGGAAAAAACAAAAAAAAACGAAGAGTTCCAATGAATAACAGCTGTTCCAAACCGGTGAACTTGTGTTTTGTTTCTTTTGTGTCTTCATAATAGTCTGCATACCCAACACCACGCATCATTACACACACACATGCACAAGTCATGGAATAGCAGAATTTCCACAAAGGAGGCACCTGAGGTTTTGTTTCTTTCCTTTTGTGGCATATTTTGTGTGTTAGAAGAAAAAAAAACTACAGTTTTTTTTTAAATAAAAAAAATCAAACGCATCATCACCATCATCTGTTCAAATCTATTTTTAAACACTTTGTTTCTGTTCTATACACGAGACCAGCAATAAAAACAGCAAGTGGGAAATATGTGTGTCCACGTATAGGCAGGCAGTCGGTCGGGCACTTGGCTTGATGGCTGAAATTCTATGGTCCAAATGTTGTTGCACATCCAAGGTCAAGGGCTTTGTCGTCAGAATTGTCTAGGCAAAACAAATATAGCAGCAGCAGCAACAACAATAAAAATTTAACAAAAATTTAGAAAAGAAAAAAAAAAAAAAACAAATTGCAACAACACACCCCAAATAAAAATGCAACAAACAAATAAAAACAAATCTTGGCCATTCACTCATTAACAGAACAAAAAAAAAGACATAGCAACAAAAACAAATCAAAATTTAGTTCTCTTTTTTCGTGTAGTGTTGCTCTTTGTTGCTCATCAACATCATGAAAGTGTTTTTCTCGGACTCACACATAGCACACATAGACCCCTTTCTAACATTGCCGGCGCTCATTTACAGCTCATTCGACAACAATAGTTTCATCAACAACAACTACTGCTACTACCTTTGTACCCCCACAGAAGAGGAAAAAGAGTCTCGCACTCACACACACACATACGCACCCTAAACAATGACAAATGTTTACAATGTGTTGACGATGGTCTTGCTGGTCCAATAGAGCTATCGGCAATTTGTTATATATGCTTTATTTGCGAACAAAATAAAGACACAAGAGCACAGTGGGGTGAGTTTGAGTAAAAGTGGGGAGATTTTTATTTTTTTGTGGAAAATAAAAAGTAACCTTGAAGAATTTTGAATAAGGAATAAAAGGAACAAAGAAGAAAGGATTTATTCTCAATGTGTTTTTTAATAAAAAAATTAGTTTTTTGCAATACTGAACTTGTTTCAATAGAAGAATTTGAGACAACAGGATGTGGCAAGACATTTCGAAATTTTTTTGGGGAATTTTGAAATATGCAATGATTTAGCGCTGGGGATTCTATTCAATTATTCCCGGTGTATTATAAGCAAAATTCAAATAAGAGCTATAATTATGGATTTGGCAAAGAAAGTTTTTTTTTCAGAGCTAAATTTTTAGATTTCCAAAGATTTTTCCCAGAACTTTTGAGGACTCTCAGATCCACATTTGTGGGTTCTGTAAAGAATTTTATGATTGGGATTTCAAAACTTTTTAGAGAATATCTGAAGGGCTTTTACGATTTGAGATTTAACATTAATTTAATATTTAGAATGACTTTAGTATTTCATTTAAATAATGCTGGATTTTTTATATTCTGTATTATAATACATTTTATACGGCCATCGAAAATAGGATTTTAGACCCCACGTTGTCTCTTTGAAGCAAATCCGTTTCAGGATATTTGAAGTCGTCTGCCTGTCCGGCTTGCGCACACGATAACTCTCGAAGGGAGTATACAAAGTTGCTACTTTATAATAATATTATCAAATATGGATCAAGTTCGGAGATGGGTAATATCGGTCCAACTCTTCTAGGACCTCCCATTTTCAAGAATAAAAAATAACCTTATACAGCGAATTTTGTGCAAACTTTGCAAATCTTAAAATTTATATCAGTGCTAGTTCAGGTGCGAAAATGGACAATATCGGCCGACTTCATCAAATACCTCCCCCACAAAGGTCCAACATTTTGTACAAAATGAGAAATAAGTATCCGATTTCATTCAAACTTGGCACAAAACCTGGCTACAGGGGGTATATATCATTTCAAACGACCAAAACGGGGTTTTATACCATAGGTCTCTTTGATCGAAAACCGTTTCAGGGCATTTGGAGTCGATCGATAGGGTTGCCCATGCGTCTGTTCGTCCATCTGTCTGCTTGGTGCCCACGATAACTCTCAAAGAGAGTATTTCATTTGGTCCAAACTTGCTATATCGCATTATAATTATCAAATATGAATCGAGTTCGGACATGGGCAATATTGGTCCACTCTTTCTGGTACCTCCCCCAAAAAAGCTCAAAAGTTTATAGAAAATAATTTTCAACATAGAAAGAGAACTCTGCAAATTCTAATATTTTTATGAACGTGCGAAAATAGGGTCAAAGAGTCAAAATTTTGAATAATTATAACTATTACCAAATGGGAAATAAGCATTCGATTTCATTTAAACTTGGCATGTTACCATATGTCTATCTACGCGAGATGTGGTGTGAATATGGAATATAGCAGACAACCTCTTCTGGTACCTCCCTCACAAAGAGATCAACATTTTGAATACTCATAACCCTTAGAAAATGCAAAATGAGCATTTGATTCTTATAAAACTCGGCGAATCCCAATATTTATATCAACAAAAGATCTGGTATGAAAATGGAATATATCATCGATCGATCGGACCACTTATTCTGGTACATTCCACACAAAGGGTCAACATATTCTGAATAATAAAAACTCTCACAAAATACGAACTAACCATCAGATTCTCTTCGAATTTCAGTCACTCCAATATTTCTACTAACTCTATGTCTAGCATGAATATGGAATGGATTAGAACACTCCTTCTAGTTGAAAATTTTGAATATTCATAAGCCTCACAAAATGAAAAATGACTATTCGATTCTTACCAAACATGGCACACCTGGTGTAAAGATGGGATAAATTGGACCACTTCTTCTGGTTCCTCCTCCCTCCCCAACGGGTCAACAATTTTGAATAATTAAAACTCCCACAAAATACGAAATAACCCACCAATTCTTTACAAATTTCGTACATTCTAATATTTCTACCAACTCTATGTCTAGTATGAAGATGGGATATATCAGCCCACTTCTACTGGTACCTCTCCCACAAAGGGGTCAACATTTTGAATAAACCAAAAGCTCACAAAATGCGAAATAAGCATCCGATTGTCTTCAAATTTCACACATCCTAATATTTTTACTAACGCAAGATCATATGTAAAGATCGTAGATATCGGTTTACTTCTTCTGGTACCTCTCTCACAAAGGGGTCAACATTTTGAATAAACAAAACGCTCATAAAATGCGAAATAAGCATCCGATTCTCTTCAAATTCCCCACAACCCTATATTTTTACCAACGCAAGATCTGGAGTGAAGATGGGATACTCCGATCTATTCCTTTTGGTACCCCACCCACAAAGGGATCAATAATTTTGAATAACCAAAACGCCCATAAAATGTGAAATAAATTTACGATTGTGTTCAAACTTCATACATCCCAATATTTCAACTAATACAAGATCTGGCATGAAGATGGAATATGTCAGCCCACTCCTTCCAATACCTCCTCCACAAAGGATCATAATTTTAAAAATTTAGATCTCTTATAACTTGTGAAAGAAGTCAGCGATACTTTTCAAACTTGGTATAGCCAAATATTATTCTTAACCAGATATTTGATGTTTATATAGAATTTATTCCGGAACCTCCCCCACAAATTTTGATTAACAATTATTCGCATAAAAAAGTTCTTGTTAATAAGTTTTCCCTTAAAAAAATTCCCCCACTGTGCGTATTTTGTCTAGGAACAAACAACAATTAAAAATATCTAATTTAAAATCTTCGCGCTTTGTTGTTGTTTTTAGCGTTTTTTTCTGTTAGACTTTGTTATGTGACATTAAGTCTAATGAAGTCAAGCAAACCATAAATCACCGACTACCAACCGTATAGCCATTGGATAATAGCTTTTGTTTTAGTTGTTTAGTTCGGATGCCAAATATCCAAACAAATTTGCCATGCAAAACAAGAAAACTACGCCACCTTCAAATGTTTGGCCCAAATATGCCCCTGCTCGCCCCACATTCTTCTTCTTCTACTTCTCTATTTACACATTGTAATTTAGTTGACAGAAAAAAACAACAGCCAATCAAGCGCCAAAAAAAGCAGAATGGAAAAAGACCACAATGAGGGAATAAACTTGTTGATCATCTATTGCAGGCATTTCTCTCTTGGGTTTCTTCTGCGTCCTCTCTCACTCGCAGACAATGAAATGACACAACAAGATGAAAATATTTTGAGATGATTATCGTTATAAGAGATTGGCTTTTATCAATTAATCAAGAGGATACTTGAGATTTCAAATTTAGATTTGGGTCAGCAGATGAATGGTATATTGGGGCGGGTCGAATGTGAAACTATTTTATTTATAGTAGCCGTTATGACATTGCAGGAGTCTGTAAACCCTGACAACAGTGATTCCCATGTTTTATGTTTTGAAGGGGTCCTATTCTCTCTCTCCTCAGGAAGGTCTTCTTAAAAAGAGATAGATAGAGAGAGTAAGAGAGAAAACTAGATTTTATCTAGAAATATTTATGGGAGGGAAAAATCCTGAAGAATCCACATCTTCATAAATAACAAGTTAAATAGTATCAGTCGGATTTTCCGACAGATGTATACCCCCAGACTTGAGTTATGATTATTCTAACTGTGGACCCTTTATGTGGGAGGTTCCGAAGAAGTTGGCCAATATTGTCCAATTCGTATCTGACCTAAATCTGATATAAATATTACAACGTGCCATATTTGGACTATATCATCTACTTCCTATATTTTATATGAGATATGTGCAAATTTTTGGAAAATGTGGAAAAATGCCTGGGGTACCAGATATAAGAGACCAAAATATTCTACTTCCTCTAGGACATATAAAAATATACAAAAAGGTACCAGAAG